TTTTCTATTCACAGTGTGTCTGTTTTTCATTCTTCAAGTCATAACACAAATCTTGGCTCTTGGATCATTGATTCAGGGGCCAGTCATCACATATGCTCATCACGGCACTGGTTACATTCTTATAATGAAATCACTCCAATGATCATAAAGTTGCCTAATGGTCAGCATACCGTCACAAAATTCATGGGCACTGTCACATTTTCCCCTGGTTTTACTATTTTAAATGTCCTCTACGTGCCTGAATTTAATGTCAATCTAGTTTCTGTTTCTGAATTGTACCATAATTTAAATTGTTTGGTGTCTTTTGCTGGTTTGAAGTGTCTTATTCAGGAACAGAAATCCCTGAGGATGATTGGTTCAGCTGAGAGACTTGATGGATTATACTACCTTATCATGACAAATAAGGAGCCTACTTCAAGCATAAACACTCTTCACATACCACATAGTGCCTTGTGGCACTTTAGACTAGGGCACCTTTCACATTCTAGATTGTTAACCTTAAGAGATCAATTTCCCTTTGTTATCAGTGATAAAGATGCAATATGTGACATCTGTCATTTTGCTAAACATAGAAAATCTCCTTTTCCTTATAGTACAAGCAAGGCTCTAAATCCTTATGATCTTATTCATTTTGATATTTGGGGGCCTATTTCAACTCCATCTGTTTGCAACCATAGCTATTTTCTAACTGTTGTGGATGATAATACTATATACACATGGAAAATTTTGATGAAACATAAAAGTGAAACAAGAGAACATGTCAAAAATTTCATCAAACAAATTGAAACCCAATATAACCACTCTGTTAAGGTTGTTAGAACTGATAACGGACCTGAATTCCTTATGCCTACTTACTACACCTCTAAAGGAATCATCCACCATAACAATTGTGTTGAAACCCCCCAACAAAATGGGAGAGTCGAACGAAAACATCAACATATCCTAAATGTGGGTAGGGCACTCCTTTTTCAATCAAAATTACCCAAACAGTTTTGGAGTTATGTTGTGTCCCATGTTGTGTTCATAATAAATAAAGTGCCTAGCAAAATTCTCCAAAACAAGTCTCCATATTACCTTTTACACAATCAACTTCCTGACCTTCACTCCTTAAGAGTTTTTGGATCCCTTTTGTATGCTTCAACTTTACAGTCTGGAAGAACTAAGCTAGACCATAGAGCCAGGAAATGTGTGTTTCTAAGTTACAAGGCCGGAGTGAAAGTAGCCATTCTATATGATTTGCACAACAGAGACATTTTTTGTTTCTCGAAATACGACTTTTCATGAGCACATTCTGCCATACCAGTCCCCTCATAATAACAATCAGTGGACATATCATTCACCCAGTCCCTCGGCTACTGAATCAGACCATTCTACTGTCCATGACTCACCTTTAACAATTAATCCCAACCAATCCTATACATCCTCACCTATCCAATCTGAGTTAAATTTTGGCTCATCTCCCAATCCAACAAACCCAGTGAGGCAGAGAAAACCTCCCTCCTATTTGTCTGATTATGTGTGTGATACTCCATCAAGCACCTCAGCTGCCCTAGCCATTTCAGGTAGTTTATATCCTATTTCTTCTTTTCATTCACTTACACATTTGTCTTCTTCTCACAAGGAATTCAGTATGTCTATCACACACATCACTGAGCCACAATCTTATTTAGAGGCAACCAATTCACCTTGTTGGTTAAAAGTTATGAATGCTGAATTAGATGCCCTTCACAAAAATGGGACTTGGATTCTTGTTGATCTTCCTTATGGAGTGAAACCTATTGGTAACAAATGGGTTTACAAGATCAAGTATAAATCAGATGGCACCGTTAAAAGGTATAAAGCCCAACTCGTTGCAAAAGATTATAATCAAATGGAATGACTTGATTTTTTCGATACTTTCTCACCTGTAGCAAAGCTGACCACAGTCAGAACTTTACTTGCAATTGCAGCAATTCAAAACTGGCACCTCAATCAATTGGATGTGAATAACGCTTTCCTCCATGGAGACCTTCAAGAGGATGTTTATATGACTGTTCCAGAATGCGTGAAAGGATCAAAACCTAATCGGGTTTGCAAACTGTTGAAAAGTTTGTATGGTCTAAAACAAGCAAGTCGTAAATGGTATGAGAAGTTAACTCACTTGTTGCTTCAGGAAGGCTACACTCAATCTACTTCTGACTATTCTTTATTTACCTTAAACAAAGATAATTCTTTCACTGCTCTTTTATTATATGTCGGTGATGTGATTCTTGCAGGGAACTCTTTAAAGGAATTTGAAAGAATCAAACTCATCCTTGACGAAGCTTTCAAAATAAAAGACCTTGGCCAGTTGAAGTATTTTCTTGGACTAGAAGTAACTCATTCAAAGGCTGGAATCACAATTTCACAAAGGAAGTATTGTTTGGATATACTCAATGATTCTGGTCTTCTTGGTTCTAAACCGGCATCTACTCCTCTTGATACTTCAGTCAAGCTGTACAATGATGATTCAACACCACTTGAAGATATTTCTTCATACAGAAGATTGGTTGGCAAGCTTCTTTACTTGAACACAACAAGGCCAGATATTACTTTTGCCTCCCAACAACTCAGTCAATTCATGCACTCACCTACTGTTGTACATTACAAGGCAGCATGTAGAGTTGTCAGGTACCTCAAACAGAATCATGGTCGTGGCATTTTCTTTGACAGAAACTATGACCTGCAAATTCTTGGCTACTCGGATGCAGACTGGGCAGGTTGTTTGGACACACGGTGTTCCATTTCTGGCCATTGTTTTTTTTCTAGGCAAATCCTTGATATCCTGGCGTGCGAAGAAACAACCCATTGTGTCAAAGTCCTCTTCTGAGGTAAAATATCGAGCCTTATCGTCCGCTGCTTGTGAAATACAGTGGTTGTTATATTTACTTAAAGACTTAAATGTGTCGTGCACCAAGATTCCCGTATTGTACTGCGACAATCAAAGTGCAATCCATATAGCGTCAAACCCGGTCTTTCATGAAAGAACAAAACATTTGGACATTGATTTCCGCCTTGTGCGTGAGAAAGTGCAAAAAGGGATACTTAAGCTTCTTCCTATCTCATCCTCTGAACAACTTGCGGATTTTCTCACAAAAGCTTTGCCTCCACCAAAATTTCACTACTTCATTTCCAAACTCAACATGATAAATATTTATCATGCTGCAGTTTGAGGAAGGCTATCAAAATTATTGTTATATTCTAGTGGGCCAGGATTCCTTTTTAATTACAATTGTTTTTTTCCTGCTATTAGTTACAGGGCATGTGACACCCCTTTGGTTCACATTATTTTCATGCTTTCTTTTCTTCTTACCGTATGACACCTGTAGGGTGGTTATAATCTACACAAGATGTGTACCTAGGTGGCTATATATATCACTCTTTGTACCTTTCCTTTATATCAATCAATGAAGAATATTGGTATATCCATTTCTTTTTCAGTTACTTAATAGAGACATCTTCAACAACCCAAGTCGAGTACATATTAACACCAATTTTCTCTCTAACTTCCATTTTGATAAGAGATCCAAGCTCCATTGCAATGAGAACTATGCCAGAATCAAAAGATTGGCCTAGAACAAAAGCATCGTTGACCTTAATAACACTGCCAAATAAACCACCAATCTTAGAAAAAATCTTTTCGCCCCAAAAATGAAGCGGAATGCCTCTGCACAGGAGCCACACTTCCTTCCTAGTAGCTTTAAGGGAAGGGAACCAAGAAAAAATATACATAAAAAGGAGTTCAAGTCCCCATCTCATTATCACGAAAATCATCTATTAACCCTTCAACATCCGAGCTTAATAGGACATAAGCTCCACCCAAAGAGGATATTTTGATAGAAGGAAACCCAAGAATATGGAATTGTTCATAGACAAAAGAAAGATGAAGATATGGATTCAACACCCTCACTAAAGATTTGTATAAAGATGTAACTTTTTACTCATTCAAAGCCACCTTAAGCCATTTGTGATTACCCGAAGAAGAGGTCGATCCAAAGTTAATAGCTTTAGAGTTCCAAGAGGAAACCACGTCTTCGAAGGTGATTCCATCAAAAATTCTTCCATGGCCAAACATACCTTTTTCGATTTTGAGCATGTTTAGCAGGCTCAGAAGCAACAAGGGGAGTAGGTTGCACGTTGTTATAGTTCCTAGCAAACCTAGCAAGACTAACCCTTAGCTTGAAAGACCCAATCCACACATCTTCTAGGGGTAGCTGCAGTTTTTTAAGGTTCTTTACTTCAGAAAATTGACAAAACCAAAATGATCACCATGTTTCGATCTTTTGGATGAAATGAAGACTTATTTAACTAAAACAAAACAATTAAAACATTTATGGAAGGAACCGAGAGAAACTTTGTTCGGGATATTAGACACATAGAAGGCAAATAGCTCATCAAAGAGAGCACCTTTTGATAAACTATTCATAAAGTAAACTATGAGAGAAAATAACACCACACTCTTTAAACACTCAATCACCAATTGTGCTCACCTTTTAGTTATGCATGGAGGCACGACGCAAAAGGTAACAAAACTGCCTTTGAACTAGAGAACAACCTAAGAATCTAAAGAACAAAACAAAAAACACAATGCAATGCAATGCAAATCTAAAAAAAAAATCTAAAGCTAAATGAATGATTTATGCATGAAGTGTTTAAACCGCAAAATCTATATCATGAAAAGGCAATTCCTTTGTTTTGAACTAATTTTATGTTTTGAACTGTACTACCAACTTATCAAATTTTTTTGAATTCGTGAATGCGGCAAAATTCAGTTTTTTTTCTTCAAATTTTCAAATTTTCTATTGTTCTTTCTCAAAACAGATGAAAACATGCAATGGGTATTTGAAATTTATTATTCTTTTATTACAACTATACTCACCTTCCTACTAGTTTTACCTACCATACAAAGAAATTAACAATATCACAACAAACAAAAAAACCTTGCCAATAAAAAAAAAAGATCAAAATTGAAAGAAAAAGAACTAATGTCCAACTCCAGGGCTAGGGACCGATGCAAAAAGAACACGATCCATGCTTATGAGGTGTCGTTCAATGAGCTTCTCATCAACAACAACAGCATGTCCTTTTTTAGTTGGAGAAGAAGATGGAACGCTACCCTTAGGAAGTGCACTTAGAAACAAACCATCCCTTAAAGAAGGCTTCATCTTCATCTTCTTCCACTGCTTCTCTCCTCCCACAACAAGCTTTCTTCCTTCTAAACGATTACAAAATGAAGCAAAAAGAACCAAGAACATTAGTAAGGAAATGCTAGATCGTGCCATGTGAATTCTAACAATCACAAAAAGAATGACACAATTGAGATACAGGGAAGTGCTATAATATAGTTTAAAAAATTGAGTTTGAATGGCAAAGTCAAGAGAAAAAGATACGTGGGGTTTGAAAAGATGTGATTTGGACATGAGGATCAATGGTATGGGGTTGCGTTGTATTGTATTGTTCGAGTTGAATAATAATACATGAATCTTGATAATTATGAAATTATTTATTCAATGAATTCAAACGCAACACTGGACATGAAAATGAGACTAGTAACTAAATTCAATGAAATATCTATTTGTTTAATATCAAATCTAAATTAAGTCAACTTAATTAGTACGGTTTTTTTTTTGGGAAGATATTTAAGAGTATTTATTTTGATGCTTAGCAAAAATCTTAATTAAAGAACTCTCTTTTAGGACAGTTTTAAAAACTTGATTTATTAGTCGTTGCTACTTCAAACCAATATTAAAATATATAATGTGAATTATTTTTATTCATGTGCGTTCACGTTGGTTTTAGGTGAGCGGCACGCTCGTTTATTTTATACAAATTCAAAAAATAATGTTGATGCAAGAAAAATAATATTTTATTATCAATAAATATTTAAAAGTTTGGAGAATAAGGAAAGATAAGACTTTAAAAAATAATTTTTTTGAAAAAGTATTAAAATCTTTAATATTTCTTTTAAAATGATTTTATATATAATGATAAAAGAGTGTTTATTGTTGGACTTAACAACAAAATTCTGTTGATGCACAAGAAGAAAAAGATCAAAAACGTTGAAAGAATTGTAATGAAAAAGAGAAAAAAAGTCAGTAACTAACTCAATTTCTCAATTGGTTTTCTACAATCAATTGCAACTAAGTTTGGATTTATGTACACTAAGCTAAACTCAAGCGCAAATCAAATGCAAACTCAAATGAAACTAAATAACTTGAATTTGAATTGTATTTAACACCATCTCTTAATTCATATTTAAGATTAAAAATCAACAACACCAATTTTATCTTTCAATATTGTTTTATAAGCAAAAGATATTATTAAGACTTAAATAATCTTTTGATAGAGCTAGTTTTTTATTTTGGTCCATGTATTTTTTTTGTCTGAGTCTCGTCCCTAACGAGAATTGTTTGTTACAAAAAAGTTGGTCCCAAGAGGATTTGAACCATGAATCTTATATTTAATGCAATGATGTCTCTCCATTAAACCACTTGTGTTTCTTATTTCATATTTGCATATATATATATATATATATATATATATATATATATATATATATATATATATATATATATATATATATATATATATATATATATATATATATATATATATATATATATATATATATATATATATATATATATATATATATATATATATATATATATATATGTTACATAATGGGAAGGAGGACTAAATCCAAAAATAAAATTGTTGCGGTAAGAATCGGATATCAAGCTATTGAATTAATTTGAATCACAAATCATGAAGTTCACCACCGAGTTTTGATTTATCCAAAGGAAGGGGTAAAGATCGAAGAAAACACTAAGTGCGCTATGTAACAACACAACTAAAAGATCTAAGGTTCGAGGGTTGATTATACCTAAGGAATGTGGTAGCATCCAAAGTATATATCTATAGTACTCTACAGGAACCTCTTGCTAGTATTTGTGTTATGTTAAAGTTTGCTTGTTAAGGGAAAAGTGCTAAGGTAAAGATCTAAAGTATATACAAAGTATGTACAAAGTATGTTCGCCAAGACATCGCATCTCGTGTCTACGTATTCTGGAAAGAATGGAATCAAAGCAATCGTATTTTCCCAACTACGATGAAAAATGGTGTAAAAGGAGAAATGAGGGGAAAAAGTGTGCTCGCCAAGGATCAAGGCCTTGTGCCTACGTATTCTCAAGTGGAACTTGAGAAATCAGAGCGTCCGTAGTTCGTGGAACTACGAGTTGTTAGGGTTCTAAAAACTAAAAACAACAAAGGCATGTAAAGAATAAATAAAGGACATGCTCAATGACAATAAGTCAACACGCAGTCTCTCCCCTCAGATTATGTCACAAAGATCAAAAAGCAACATATAACGTGGAAAAACATCATGAAATCAACAAGCAGGCAAGTCACAGACACAGTACAAGGAAAAACATCATGTATGATAAGACAGACAAAATAGCACAGAATACGCATGGAAAAACATCATGGTAATCAGACAGTGAAAAGTCAATAGAAATACACGGAAAAATATCATGTAATCAACAGATAAAGATACGCGGCAAAGCATCGCGAAATAAAAATAACAGGTACGCAGAAGAGCATCGCGAGAAACATAGAGAAAATACACGGCAAACATCGTGAAAAATCATCAACACATAAAATCAACCGACAGTCACGGCAAAGTATCGTGGTAAACAAATAAGAGAGAGTAAACTTAAGACATGAAAGCAGATCAAGACATGAAAGCAGATCAAGTCATGAAAATGGAATCGGTCAACAAGAATAATTATTAATTAATTTAAATATTAATATTTAATAAGATTAATTAATAATTTAATTAACCAATATTAAAATATTTAAACTAATTAACAATTGAAACATATATTTTTGTCATCATTTTTTAAAAGTATTATTCAAATTTAAAAAATAATAATAATCAAAACATATTTTTTACATTTTCAAATATTATAAAGGACTAATTACACTAACTAAAAAGTGAAGATATTAAAATCACGAGGTTAAAATATTTTTGATATTTTAAATAATATAAATTAAAATTAAAATTAATTTAAGACAAATAATAATAATAATATAAAATTAAAAAAAATTATCTTAAAATATCAAACTTAAAAAAGAAAAAATCTCATCATGTGATCTCAAAACAAAAGCAAGATGATTTTTATCACTACACACTCAAACACTATTTTCAAAAAGAATGAAAGCAACATCACGTCCTACTTTTGAAGAAAAAAACATTTATGCTTTTATTGTAGTAAACACATGACAATTATTGTGGTAAGTTATATGTGGTAGTTCGAGAATAATTAAACCATCAACATTTTAAATACATACTAAAATTTAGAACTAAACTCACGAGATAGAAAATTAGAGTTAATACCAAATATTTGGTTCTAAATAAAAATCAATAACCCAATATAAACTTTAAAAGTCTTTTATCTTTAAAAAAAATATAATAACTAAATGAGAGAAAAAATAAAACTAAAACTAAAATAGAACTTTCTAGCATTTGAGTCATGTATTTTGTTTAGTAACACAATTATTTTCCTTAAAAAAATGAAAAATTAGAAAAACAACAAAAGTAAGAGAAAGAACCTCACATAATGGCGGCGGTGTGAGTAGGAGAAAGATACGCAGAAACGCACAGCGGTCAGAGCTGCTCACGACGGAAACGAAAAATATTGGGTGTTGTTGGAGATGATTATGGTGGTGCGTGAAATTTCAATTTCTCTAGCGGCCAGAAATGATTTTCACAGTGGTGGTTTTATAGTGTGAGTTTAAGAGAAGATTTTGTGAAGAAAAGAGAAGATGATTAGTAAAAAAAATTGTGTGTTGTTATGTGACAGAAAAAAGAGGTATAAAAAAAATGGGAATCTTTTCATGCTACACTATTTTTACAAATAAAAGAAAGAGAGGGATATTGGGTGAGTTTTAGAGAGTGATGGTTAATAGAGAGAGTGAGATCATTTGATAGTTGTATGGAGTTTCAATGTGTTCTTGATGAAAAATGAGGTGAAGTTTTCTGATGAAGAATAATATGTGGAGTTATATAAAAGGGTTAGTGGGAAGAATATCAACAACGTTTTTATTGTTTTTTTTATAAAGAAGAAGTAGAAAAGTGTATATATCTTGTATCTCAATGTGCAAGGATATAATATGTAGAGTATTATCTTTTATTTTCTTAGGTATTATGTGACTCTCTCATGCAATGCACACAAAAGGTAGTAAAACAAAATGGTCTCATAACCCTTAATTAACAAGTCTTGTTAAAAAGGTAAAAAAAAAATTTTTAAATCATTAATATAAAAAAAAGTGAATAAAGTAAAAGAAATAAAATAAACATTTAAAATAAAAATTGATTAATTAAAATAGTTATTAATTGAAATAGAAATAAAATCGGTAAAAGAACGAATAATTAGACCGGTATTGAAGTGCTCAAAAAAATAAAATAATTACACCAAAATGATCATGGTGAAATATACAATTCGAAAAAATACAGCGTTTAGTCAAATTTTGAAATAAAATTTACCCGCTAAAATGCCTTAAACTGTCTAAAAATGTGACCGAAAAGTAGTCGAAAAATTAAAATGAGCACGCCAGATTAAATTACGCGAAATATAGATTAATATGACCGACGTTTGCATACTCGATTTTAAAATTTTTCGTCCACTGATTTTACGCACAATTGACTTTTAATTTGACCGAATCGGCTGTAATTCCAACAAGTTCATTCCAGCTGACAAATTGGGTAATATGCAATATGTAAGACATGATATGCTATGCAGAAGATCAAAGAATCTGAGGGTAAAATTTGGGGTAGAATTTGATCTTCTTCTTCCTCCTCTCCTCTAAGTCGTATTCTTCTTCTTCCTCTGCACCTTCATTCATGGCTACATATTTTGTAGGTAAGTTTACTCCGTTTCAAATTCTCAGTTGATAACTTTACTCTGTTTCATTTAATTTATTTGTTGATTCTAACAACGGGAGATGGGTTTGCAAGCTTCATCACCTAATAGAATGAGTGATGAATTTTTGTTGTATAGTGGTAGCCTTTGATCTTGATAGAAATGTTAGAAATCATTTTTATGAAAAGGAAAAATAAGGAATAATTTTAGGTTTGAAAATTTCAGATAGTTAGGGATGAAGATATGAACACAAATCCAGAATTTTGGATTAAATATTCTTTTCATCCCTATAAATTGGCGCGTTTGGTTTTAGTCCCTGTAACCTTTTATTTTTAGTCCCTAATTTCGGGTTTGAATTC